GGGAGCAGCCACTCTTGATCTGGAAGACCTTGTCGAGCAGCTCCGACAACGTCGCTACGGTCCAGGATATCATCTTCACCGCAGTCGCCAAGGCGCGGGTTGATGGTATGGACCGGAAGTTCCTGGAATGGAAAGACCGATATTTTCTTCGTGGACCCCGGACTGAAGCCCTGACGGTTACCTCCAAGTTCTCCCTTCTTGTAACCTCGGCATGATGTCGAATATTTAGTTATTTCTGCCTTTAAAAAGGTTCTATCTAATAACCTCGTTTGGCAGAAATAACTAAATACCTGACGGTTACATTTAACAGTTCGATGAGAATAACCTGTCTTCATGTCGTCGCCCGTACCATCTTGGAAACTTGTACTGCTACAGGATTGGGTGCCAGCACATGGAATCGAAAAACTCTCGCCTACTTGGAATCGAAGGGCGTTGAGTACCTGAAGAAGACGGAATATCCAAGTGTGTCACCTGACCTAAACCCCCTCGATTACCGGGTTAGGGTGGTCTACAGTGGCGGAGAAATCAACGATCTCGCTGAACTCAGGCACCGAATCACGGTCGCGTGGCAGAATCTCTCGATGGCGTTCGTCCAAAAAGGCTGTGGCGGAGTTTCGTGATAGTGTGCAATGTGTTGTTGAATATGATGGTGGAAATGTCCAATCAGAATTAATAATGTAATTTATATCGCATTGAAAATGGAGAAAGGAAGTGTCTTTTTTGCCCCCACCCCCCTGTATATGGGGCCATTAGAGCTCATGAATGTGGAGGAAGTGATCGTCAAGGATGTAAAAGATGAGGAATGGAAAAGAAAGAGGGTGAGAATGTGGCATCGAAATTGTGGCATGGGTTGTGAAAGAGCGATCGCAAATGATATCACGTGCGCGGCATTCGCACCAACACCCCGGTGTAGCAAGACCTTAATGAGTCAGTTAGCCAGAAAACAAAGTTTCGATACTGCGACTCGGATCTCCTGAATTATGCACGTTACGTGCATTCTTATTTCTTACGAAACTTACAGTCGTTGTCACTAAAATTAGTTTGGGCGTTGCACTTTCTAGGATTCTCAACGTAAGATGTGCCTTATTTATTCCTCTGACTGGGGCTCTAACTAGTTCCTTCTGAAATTGAGCTTGATTTCGTATTGTCGTATGTTCTAGCCATTAATGAGGTTCATGAGTACATTAGAATAGCAATTGGAAACTTTCCCACCTTTTTGCTGATTGGGCAAATACGGAGTTTCGGCTCTCAGATTGCCGAATGCGGGAGACCAATGTTTCTCGTTTGTTGTTTAATTTATCATGAATGCCTTCCCGGTATTTCTGAGGGAAGCTGTTTGTAAGATGTTTTCTCACTTTATCAGTGCAACACTGTCTTAATAATAGGAAATATGCGAGCGATAACCTTTCAAGAGGACTGCTTTACAAACCTCGGCAGGGCAAAGACGATTGGACACTAAGCCGAAGTTGTGGGCGAAATCAGTGGCGGTGGTATGTCACGCCGAGTGTATGTGGCACAACTGAGCGTTGGTCTTTGAGTCATATCTGTAAGGCACTTTCTATTTCGGCCTATGGGGTTTTTTTTTTCTTTTCGCCTCTGGGTCAGATCCGAGAGCACCTGAGCCTTCTATATGCGGCCGGAGTCGGGTAACTGCACTCCTGTCCTGGAGGGAGTACCATTGACTGACCAAGAAAATCGTTGATGGCATGTGTGTTCAATTCAGAGCACCTGCTTCGATTTCGAATGTCAAGTGCAGTTGGCATGGCTCACTCAGCAAGAAGATCAAGCAGCAGAAGAGCTCTATCTTCTCTTAGTTACTCGTCGCCATTAGGAGGAAAAAAAAGTTCTAGAAAGTTGAATAAAATCCACGAGACAAGTGGTGATGACTGCTTGAAGTGCCCCCACGAGAGTTAGTTGTCGGGAACAACTCGTTCGGCACTTGAGGGGGGGTTTTCGCGGAATGGCGTTTCTCGAGCTCTCGAGCTGCAACGAGCTCCGCGATCATTCAAGTTGCTCGCTAGGTAGACTGTTAGCCATCGAAGTAGCGGTGCAGCTGGAAGTGCTCCTGGAATATCTTTCATTAGCGAGCGTTTCTGTTCGTCATTATTCCTGCAGGGCCAAATTTTACAGTCTTGATTCTAAAGATCTTATTATTCTTATTTTATATCGCTGATAATAGTGGCAACATTCGGTATCGGGGGGGGCCATGCATAAGGTAGCTCATCGATTATGGAGTTGCTATTTTATCCTCCCTTTTTATAAGCCTTCTATGATCGATTCCCTACGCTGAGTCGCAGCTTCATTTCTTCTACGATAGGCATAAGTACCTAATAGCTACTAAATTTCAGTGACCTGACGATAGTTCCATTCAGTACCAGTCCAGAAGGCAACGGCAGAGCTTGGGAAGTTGACGTTGGTATGAACGGTACGTTTTCTAGCGAACTGATCATCTTGTATCACTTACCTCTTAATAGTTTCGTAGTCGGAGAGGGAGAGGTGCAGGGGTATTCGCCTTGCATTTCGTGCTCTCTCAATGAGATAGGCATAAGGTGGGCAGGGCGATCTGCGGGGAACACAGAGTCTTCTGTAGGGCGCTTCTTGCGCGCAAGATATCTCCGGTTCGCTCCGCCCAGAAGATCCCTCTCAAAATCATCTCAGATTCTGCTTTTATCTAGAACTCCCAGCTGAAATTCCTTTTCTCATGGAAATGCTCTTATTGCTATTTTATGTGCAGTTTCCCATTTCATGTGAATGTAGCCCGAGAAATGCATTAACCTTCTCAGTTCTCATCAATTAGCTCTCCCTTCCTTTTCAACGGAACTAAGCTAATTCCTTCGAAGATTGGATTTTTAGTGTACACTACCTTTGACAACGAACGATAGAACGAAGCCTTGTTTGCCTTCCTCAGGGCAGCAGGAATAGGATTAATTTCTCCAAGGCCAAATGCACTTTACATACAAACCACCTCGTCTAGTAATTACTGCTGCAGCTTTTTCTGCAGTATAAAAACTACTGTATCATAATTTCAGAGCAATTCCTGAAGAACTTGTCGCTTTCAGTCCTTACACTTCTTCGACTCACTCTATTGCAAACGTCAATATAATAAGACCTTAAATGCTATAAAATAAATAATCAGTTAGTCCTAAACGCCATTCACTACGTACTTCGCTAGTCTATTGAGGTGTACGGTAATGAGGACAACTTCCGCAGCTCATTCCATAGTCAGCAAAACTATCCGGAGCTGGTAAATTACACCAATCGTCTGGTACTGCCCTCAGTAAGCCACTACGTTCCAGAGTGGAGGTGAAAGCAGTGTCTCGTCTAGAATGGGGAGTGAACAGCGGCAAGTCCTTCTGTTCTTTTTATCCTATCTTGGATCTTTCATTAATTTCGTGCAAGGGCAGGATGAAGGCGTCTTCTTGGGTTCCCATCCAAATCTATATCACTACGCCACGCGATAGGCTCGTAGGCTTCCACCCTCCTTCTGCCAGCTGCAACGGGAGGGCGCAGTTTGGCCACATGCGGTTTAAAAATCCAAAGCTCATTCAGCATAATTAACTCCCTTTGGGTCACATTGGCACAGAACGTCGACTTTTTTCAGATCCTCTCACCAGGTCTAGACTAGGCGGAAATCCCGACTGCTCCATTCGGTCTTCAACAGCACTACCTTCAAAGTACTTGATGAAATGGTCGCGAGAGACTGACTGCTCCCATTTCTGGATTCTGCCTAGAACTTGACTTTCGTGCCTCATTTCTTTTTATTTCGTTTACAATATTCTTTTTGGCACACTTCGTGCCCTTGCTTGGTGAATGGGAGACGGACAAGAGAATTGTAATTTGCCGCTGCCGTCTCGCGCGGCGATGGGCGCGGCGTTCCTTTAACTCGTGTTATCCTGTCGAACTCCGCCAAAAATTAAATACAAAAGTTGGTTTTTCTCAGTTTTTGTGGTTTTCCTTGAAATCTGTGGAAACTTCGTTTTCCTCGGAATCCGTGTTTGTATGGGTGGAGTCGTCGGGTCTCCTTTATGCTTTCCGCTATGATCATCCTTTTTTGCAGTGCAAGAAAGGGTGAGTTCATCAACGAGAAACGCACAGTGATAGGCCTGGCCCCGCCTACACGATTTGCAGGGAACGCATTGCAACCACCTTAGCGGGCATTACCGCTTCATTTTGCCCTGTGTCGGTCGGTAGTCAGTAATTTCACCTACTTTTCCATAGTGGTCAGGATATATGGAGATACAGTCTTGCCCGCAGTGGTGTGATGGGTTGCGTAAGGGGGCCCGGTTCGGAGTAGCGCCAGTTGTTTGCCGCCCAGCAAACTGATGAGGGGGGAAAGGGAGGCCAGCCTGCGCCGCCCCAAGCCCATCCTCCCTGACACCGTCCCCAGCGTCTGCAGCGAAAACGACGGTACATGTCTTCTTCTTCCGAGAACAGGCTTGGACATCAAGGGTTCATCAATTACTGCGGCTACCTATTGGCATCCCGGACCAAAAAGTGTTCATGGGAGTTTTTATAAAATTATTATAATGCTTGGCAAATATGTGCAATTCGTAACTAATTAGTTGATCAAGTCACAGTTAATAACACGAACTCTCGGGAAATCAGTGAGAGACAAAACGAATCCGAGGGCTTGTTGTGATGACTCTTTTTGGAATCATCTAGCAGCGTTGTTATTTTTTTCATGTTATTACTCCCATGCAAACCGCCATCTCATTAACACGGAGCTTTTATTATTGCAACGCCAATAAGCTGTTTATATTCAAAATTTCTCGAAATAATTAACCATTATTATTGGATTTTGGGTTTGACCATACGACACCATCCCACGCGCTCTGCATTGCACCGCTTTTATTCCGGGATTGTTTCTGGGTATTTCAGGATATACAGTTGTTATCCGGGCACTTGATTAGGCGGCCAAGGGTCGCGACGCGGCTGCAGCGCGTCACGACCGCTGCACGGCAGTCAGATGTTTCCGGCCACTTTCTCCCTAATTTTCAGTGTATTTTCTATTTTTAAGGTAAGTTGTTTTTGTCTTTATGAAGTATATTAGGACGTGGATTTCTTTTGTTCTTCTAATGAAGTGTTTTTGCGATTTTTTCAGGTATTTGTTCAATTGTCTGCTTAACTGTTTAATTGTACGCAAAAATCAGAAAAATCTCAATCATAATTCACCTTGTGAAGACAAGGAACAACCAGCAAAAACAGTGTAAATTAGGGAGAAAATGGCTAAAATAGGCTGGAAACAGCTGATCGCCGCGCTCGTGACACGCCGCAGCCGCGTCGCGACCCTTGCCCGCCTAATCAAGTGCCCGGATGACGACTGTACAGACTTGTGATCGCCGTACCATGCCGACTTATTTTCAGATGTGGTGGCCGCTTACTGACGGCATTACTCATCCACGCAGTTATCGTCCAACCCATAAGCGCATATTCTCGATTTGGACGACAATCAGATGAAATCAGGTGGTGAGATTTTCCACATCTTCACTCAAACTCCTCTAAAGATGAATTTTAAGAGCGCTATACAGCAAAGGTGCTCCGTTGAGCATCAACGAGCAAATGTTGGGAGGATCAAATATTCACTATTATGGCCGATTCAGGTTAGTAATCATCAGAAAGTAT